CCGTCTCAAAAAAAAAAAAAAAAAAAAAAGGCACATCCAGATAACATCCCATTCTGTTCTGTGGGCATCCTTCGGAGATATTTTGCACACATACCCCTCCCCATCTCCAGGAGCTCACTCAGATGGCTCCATCACAGTGATCGCTGGCACTGAGTGGGTCAGGCATCTTCAAACTACGGCCTGCGAGCCATATGCAGCTTGCCTAGGACATTTATCCAGCCTGCTGGGTGTTTTTGCCGCCGCCGCTACCTGTCCTGCTTAGCAGGTGACTTGTCCTGGGGCCCACAGTCTGGCCCTCCAACAGTCTAAGGGACAGTGAACTGGCCCCCTGTTTAAAAAGTTTGAGGACCCCTGGAGTGGGTGCTTGGTTGGGGCCTGGTGGGACCTGTTGGTGACTATGACCCACTGGCTTCTTGGCATCTCCTCACCCTCAGGCAAAGTGACACATCTAGCTCCCCTCTGTGTGCCCTGACCAACCTGATAATAGGTGATGAGAAGATAGGAGTCCGTAGACTCAGCCAAGTAGGCCAGCCGGGGAAGCTGGGAGTGGGCAGGGCCTTGGGGGAATGAAGCTCTTGGGCAGCTCTGACATCCAGGATCTTTTTCCTGATTCCTGCTCTCAGCTTTGCTCTGGAGGGCCCACCACTGTCCTACTGAGAATCTGAGGTGCAGCTGAGGGTTGTCACTCACACTCTTCCAGGAAAAGCTTCCATGGGCAGCCTCTCAAAAGGCGGTTCTTGTCTCTCCCCAAGAGCTTCCCTAAATGTCCACCAGCAAGTGACCTCCCCTTTGCAATCCTGCTAAGGATCCCTGGCAAGAGCATCACTCAATGTCGACCTCTGGTCTGTGCCTCCTTCCTTGCCTCACGGCCTGGTGGCTCTCACATGCTGCACTACAGTGTGGCAGAGCCCAGCTCCTTGGACTAGGGTTGTCTTCACCTGCCTCCACCTCCACACTGAGCCTCAGAGGCTGCTCACTTGGTTCCCGGCAACCACCAAGTAAGCCAGGCTGTGTGCCTGCTGGAGACGCCACAGCACTACGCAAGTGCATACAGAAACTTTGAGGCCACATCAGACTATTTCCACGGCTAACCCATTTTGAAATGTACGTTTTTTCAAAGGAACATGTTTCCCAGTATTTGGCAGTTTAAATGTTTCACAGCACCCGTGCACATTTCTCTGACTTCAGCTACTTACACACTTGTCTGGGAACCTGTGGGGATAGGAGTCAACAGTGTTCTTCCCCAGGGCTCGCCACGGCCAGGTTACTCTCATCAGAGGCCAACTAGGGGCAGACCCAGCATATCTCTTTTGTTAAATTACTGCAGCAGAGAGACTGAATAGCCAAGCTCTCTACCTCTAAAAGAATCCCAGTGGGCAAACTACCAGGCCGTGGTGATCACCAGAATCTGTTACAGGTTGTCAGGGAACAGACCCTGCCCCTCGCTGTTCCCTGGAGTTGTTCTATTCTCGGGTGACCCCTACTCCCTTCTTTAAAGAACTGCTTAAAAATGTCTCAGAATAGATTAAAATTGATCAATTGCTCCAGTTTCTTCTGGACCTGATGGTGCGTTCCGATTTCCCTTTGTTAACTGGGACCTTACTCCCTGAGAGGTTGTAAAAGTCAGTTACAGATTCCTGTTAACATCAGACTTGGCTTTGAATCAGATCAAGCAGATGCTTATTTATGTAAAAATTCCAACAGAAGATACAGTGCACCAAGCTACGATTTTTCACTTTCATCCACAGATAATCTTAGAATTTTCAGGTTTCCTACAAGTCCACTCTTCTTTATAAAATAAACAGTGTCCAGTAACATGCTAAGATATAATCTTAGTAAATGTTTTACTTTTCCTTTGCCAAAGAACTTGGAAAATGAGAAAACCTGTCACACCATTTTCTTCTCCCACCTGTAGCCCTGCTTCAAATAGAAAATGTCCCACAGCATGCAGAGGCCGTCAGAGGCGTCTTCATCACCCATCCTGTCTTGCCTTGGGTGTCCGTGGGCTACTAACATTGATTTATTAAAAGAATTGTGGTTTGGGCTCGGCGCCTATAGCTCAACCGGCTAAGGCGCCAGCCACGTACACCTAAGGTGGCAGGTTCGAATCCCCAGCCCGGACCCGCCAAACAACGACGGCTGCAACCAAAAAATAGCCCAGTGCTGTGGTGGGCGCCTGTGGTCCCAGCTACTTGGGAGGCGGAGGCAGGAGACTCGCTTGAGCCCAGGAGTTGGAAGTTGCTGTGAGCTGTAATGCCACGGCACTCTACCCAGGGGGACAGCTTGAGGCTCTGTCTCAAAAAAAAAAAAAAAAAAAAAAAAAGAATTGTGGTTTGAAAAAAAAAATATTTTAAAAATATTTTAAAAATACAGTGATGGAGGCATTTGGCGATATTGCCTTATTTTGGGGGGGGGTGTTGGTTTTCTTTTTTTTTTTTATTTTTGAGACAGAGTCTCACTTTGTTGTCCTCACAACAAAGCAAACATCATAGCAACCTCAAACTCTTGGGCTCAAGCCATCCTCTTGCCTCAGCCTGCCCAGTAGCTGGGACTAGAGGCGCCTGCCACAACACCGGGCTATTTTTAGAGACGAGGTCTTGCTCTTGCTCAGGCTAATCTCAAACTCCGGAGTGAGGCGATTGACTCGCCTCAGCCTCCCATGGTGCTGGGATGGTAGGTGTGAGCCACTGCCCCGGGCCTTCCTTGCTTTGTCAATAATGTCTCTTTGTCCATATTGAGTTGTACAAATGGCCACTCCAAAAACTTCAGCTTAAGGCTCATTCATTTTCATTACCAATTTACAGAGCCAGAGTTCTTCCAAAACTTTTTTTTTTTTTAATACGGAATGCTTCATGGATTTGTGTGTTGTCCTTGCACAGGGGCCACGCTAATCTTCTCTGTTTTGTTCCAATTTTAGTATATGTGCTGCCAAAGTGAGCGCAACTCTGGGTTTTTTTAAGCTTATTTCAGGATCAGTTGGAAACAGTGCATGTCCCAAGAACTTCTGGTGCTGGAGGAGGGGAGACCTGTGAACGGGACCTCTGTGCACACTTAGCTGGGATGCGTCCTCAGCAGGGAGGAGAGGGGTGGGTGGTAGACAGTAGACATGCTGGTTTAGCCTGCATTCTGTCCTCATTGAGCCTGGACCCACAGTTCACGTCTGGGGGTACTTCCCCCTCTGATGACCTATGTGATGCCTAGAGGCCTCTGGCCTCAGAGGTCTCCCCTCTCTGGATGTGCTATGATTTTTTGGTGTTGGATTTTCATGACCAGCGTCTGACCTTATGACCTTCCTAGCAACTCATCACTCCCCTGCAATGCATGGTGCTTGATGCTGAAGATTATTTTGTCTCAAGCCAGTCATCAGTATTACCAAGCGTCTCTTTAAAAAATTCTATCCCAGCCTCAATTGCCCTATCCACCTGTGTCCTTCCTTCCCTGGGCCATGGGGAGGTTGAGCAGACAACCTGGGTGTAGCATTGCAGGGTAGTAGCCTTATTTCCTATTTCTGAGAGTTTGAGCCTCAAGTTAGTTTAAAAAAAATAAAACCTGTCCCCCTGGGAACACTGTGGTGAGGGGCTCTAGGTAGGGCAGGAGACAGGTGCAGCCCAGTGGCCCTCTGGATCCCACTGGTGTCACATGTGCTTTCCCAGATCAATAACAGTGAGAACCCACAATCAGCGTAAGGAAGAGCTGGCCAGACATTCAGATGAGACCAAAACGCACTAAAGGGTATGGGCTGTCCACATCCTCCTCACTTTGCTGCCAGACTGGTTTCTAAAACACACCTTTGGCCATGTCATGTCTTCCTCTTCCAGAATAAGCATCCCTGTGCCTGGCCTGCAGAGTGCATTGTGATGGGCCCCTGTCTGCCCTGCCAGCTGCTTCCCGAGAAGCCTGGCCTCAGAACAGCACTCTGCCAGGACACACAGCTTCCCTGCTGAGGCCCTTTTCAAGATTCAGTTCACACAGTGTCCGTGTCGCTGCTATGAAGCTATTCTGTGCTTACAGATGGATGGCATCCCCTGAAGTATCCTCATCTTTCCAGGTGCCCAAAGCACCAGGGTGTGGACTGCATTTGTTATGGGTATCCTGCCTCTGCCGAGTCACTCGGGGTGAGCAGGGGGTTTACCTTAGCCAGCTGCTGTAATTCACTAGGTTATTACGATGTGACTACCGAATGCTGAGTAAGTGCAGAGAAGCTTCAGAGCACAGAACGCAGATGCCAGTCTGCTCTACGGAGCAGCTGGCAGAGCGGCCACCACCTCCCAGCAGCTGACAATGCTACAGGGTTTGTCAGGGTTGAACAGGGTTTCCTTTGAGTAAATGAGCCTGTGAAAACTACTGCCAAAAAGAAGAAATAACATGCAGGAGATCCTAAGGGTAGAACAGGACCCTGGAAATGAAGCACAGCAACAAAATATCCACATTCAGGAAAATGCAGTAACCTGCACCTGTGACTCAGAATAAAAGTCCCAACTGGACAACAGACCAAAGTGAAAAGCCAACAGAATGAAAGAGTGAAACAGAGCTGGCTGCAGGCAATGTGCACAGCATGGAGGGCAGGGCTGGTGCTGGAGAAACAGGTGATCACGTGGAGACAGATGGAGAAATACTTCCAGAGTGCAGGAGACACAAAAGCCATCAGAGGGATGATAATGGGAAGAACAGAGAGGACTTGGGCTTGCAACTTCAAGAACACAGACTGGATTTACCCTACTTTATGAAATAAGCAAAAACTTGAAAATACATATGGAAAGACAATTTCCAGACCTTGGACAGCAGGCAGTTCCGGACAGTGATCACTGAGACCTGCTAGGTCTCAGCACAGTGAAGGCGGCCCTGGGTGGAATCCATAGGCTTCCTGACTTGAGGTGGAATCAAGTTGAGAGAGGCCCAGAACTCCCAGGGCAGAGCACCCAGCAGAGGCTGCACAGGGCACAAGCCCAACTCCTGCAGGGAAGTCCTCTCCAGCCCGCAGCCAGATACTGACACACAGCTGTAAGAACACTACCTGGGGAGGAGAACCACCTAAAAGGAGCAGAGACAATGACACTTAAGAGCTCACAAAAGGATAGGAAAAGTCTTGTTCCCACAGGAGAGAGTAGAGGACGCAGAAGGGTGCTGGCTAAGTCATGGGAAAGTAGCCTTAAAAACTGTGCTAGTCCCATCCAAAAATCTTAAAACCAAGCCTGGGAAGGGTCAAACTGTTTCAAAAGTAAGTGTCCCAGAACAAAGCCCCCAAATACTTATAGGACTAAAAAAAATCCTAAATAGCCGGGCATTGTGGTAGGCACCTGTAGTCCCAGCTCTTTGGGAGGTTGAGGCAAGAAAACAGCTTATGCCCAAGAGTTTGAGGTTGCTGTGAACTGTGATGCCACAGCACTTTACTCAGGGTGACACCTTGAGACTCTGTCTCCAAAAAAAAAAAAAAAAAAGAATTCACAGTCTCCTAACATAATAGACAAAATGTCCAGGATACAAATGAAAATCACGCATCATACCAAGAACCAAGAACACTGCAATTTCAGTGAGAAAGGACAATTGACTGACATCAATGGTAAGTCATGTGGAATTATTGTACAAGGACTTTACAGCACCCATGGTAAGTATGTGTCAGAAGCTCATTTTAAATTTGGTGGGGAAAAAATCAAATCTCCACAAAAAATACAGACTTTATAGAAAACCAATTGGAAATTACAGAACTAAAATGTGCAATGATAGAAACTTAAAAAACCTCCTGGATAGGCTCAATAGTAAAAAAGGCAGAATCCATAAATTTGAGGAGCAATCAATCGAATTTATTTACTCTGAACAGCAGAGAGACAGAAGGAACAAGGCCTCAATGGGACAGTAACGAAAGATCCAACATTTCTCATTATTTGAGTTCCAAGAGAAGAGAGAGTAAGCTAAAAGACTATTGAAACAATACGGCTGGCCGGGCACGGTGGCTCACATCTGTGATCCCAGCACTCCGGGGGGCGTGGTGGGTGGATCACCTGTTCAGGAGTTCAAGACCAGCCTGAGCAAGAGTGAGACCCTGTCTCTACTAAAAAAATAACCGGGTGTTGTGGCGGGTGCCTGTAGTCCCAGCTACATAGGAGGCTGAAGCACGAGAATCACTTAAACCCAAGAGTTTGAGGTTGCTGTGAGCTGTGACACCACGGCACTCTACCACGGGCGACATAGTGAGACTCTGTCTTAAAATAAATAAATAAATAGCTGAAAGGAAAATAACCATCAACCATGAATTCTATATCCAGCAAAACTTATTTTTAGGAATCAAAATAAAATTAAAACATTCTTGGATAAAGTAAAAATTAAAACTAAAAGAATTTGTTGGTTGGGTGTGCTTCGTGTCTGTAATCCCAGCACTCTGGGAAGCCAAGCCAGGAGGATGGGCTGAGGCCAGAAGTTCAAGACCAGCCTAGGCAACATAGCAAGACCCCACTTCTACATACATAAATACATGAAAAAAGTTCATTAATAGCAGGCCTACCGGCAAACATTGGCTAATGGAAATTCTTCAAACAAAGGAAATGAGAAGGAAGGAGGAATCTTTGTAAATCATAAAGTTTGATGAAATTAAAAACATTATACTGTCTGATGCTCAAAACTGATACTTAAGAATAGGGAGAATAGGCTCAGTGCCTGTGGCTCAAGCAGTTAAGGCACCAGCCACATACACCTGAGCTGGGGGGTTCGAATCCAGCCTGGACCCTGGGCCTGCCAAACAACAATGACAACTACAACCAAAAAATAGCTGGGCATTGTGGCAGGCGCCTGTAGTCCCAGCTACTTGGGAAGCTGAGGCAAGAGAATCACTCAAGCCCAGGAGTTAGAGATTGCTGTGAGCTGTGATGCCATAGCACTCTACCCAGGGCGACAGCTTGAGGCTCTGTCTCAAAAAAAAAGAATAGGGAGAATAAGTAGTATTTAATGCAGGTAAGATTTTCTTCATCTGAAGTGGTAAAATGTTGATGTCAGGGACTTAATAAGTCACATATGTGTACTGTCACACCAACACAGCCACAAAGGAAACTACACAGAGAGAACTGATAGAAGACAGTATGAATAGCACAGATGTCAGAGAGCTGTCCAAGAACTTCTAAAAATGTTCTCTCATAAACAGAACAAGAAAACTGTCAAAAATTCTGCCCACTTTTCAAGATCTCTGGAAATTAATACAAGACTTTCAGCAATGTAGAACATTTATTCAAGAAATGTATACATATATAAATCTCAGTAAGAACAGAGATTTATGGCATTTTTAATTTAGACTAGTCCCATTCCCCACCCTCTACCTCCACAGTATCCTGAAATGCATTCTCAGTGAAAATTCACAGCCTGGGAACCACCAGAGGGAGCTCATTCCCAGAGAGACACATCATTATTTTTCTTTAACTAAATCATAACTGTGTACATTTATGGGGTACAGTGTGCTCCAATGTACTCAATACCATTATGAAACCAATATATAATCACCTACACATTCATAAGAGAGATGCATCATTATTTAACAAATCTGGTAGTTCCCTGGAAGACCCCACTTGTAAGGTTGTGTTGATCTTAGAGCTCACTGAAGATAAAAGTGCATTTTCCAGGTTGAACTATTTAAGGTCAATGTGCAAAAATCAGGTGTTTATATACATTAGCAATGAAAAATCTAAAAATGAAATTAAGAAAAAAATTCTATTTGCAACAACATAAAATAAGAAAATAGTTAGTGATGAATTTAACACCCACAGTGGTACATTGTTACAATTGATGAACTACACTGACACATCATAATCACCCCTAGCCCACAGCTGACATTAGGATTCACCCTTATTGTTGTAGGTTCTGTAAGTTTTAACAACTACACAATAGGGATCTCTCATTATCATACAAAATAGTTTCCCTGCACTAAGAATTCTCTATGCTCTGCCTGTCCAGCCCTCCCTCCTCCCAGCCCTGAAAACCCAATTGTTTTTAAACTTCAATAAGTACAATTTTAAAGTCTAATGTCTCTTTCTTCATCATTTTTGTTCTTGTTTCACAACTGCCCACTTTTTTTTGATAAAATATCCATTTATCTTCCTGTAGATCTTTCTCTATTGGAGATTTGCTCTGATAGCTCTATTACCTTTTCCCCTTAGGTGGAATTCTATTTGTTGCCTGTGTTATCACCCTGGAGATAGCATTCCTCAAATGTCTGGTCATTATCAGGCACGTGTCTTTGAAGCCCAGACATCCTGCTAGATTATCTGTTCCGGGCTTACCAGCCAGCTGAAATGGTGGTAGTGCCACTGCACGCTGCACCATCCAGTCTTCAGTGTGGGGTGCCCTCTTATTCCTGGGTACCAACAGCCACACTGCACATTAACTTGTCTCTGTTTCCACCACTGCCCTTGCTCTATCTGCAAACACAAACCTTGTAGCTGCTCAATTGGCCCCAAGAATGCTTAAGATGAATCACCTTGTCATTTGTCCTTGGGCTCCCTCCAGCGCCCATCTTTACAACCTTGCAAATACAGAGGATACCAAGAAAAGATATACCCATTTTAAGAAAGGAAAAAATAGTATTAAATTTGTAACACTCAAATCACGTTTGACTTCTGCAACTGTAAGAGCAGCTCACACGTGACTTGTATTCATCTTTTGTTACTGGCATATATTGAGTATTGCAATTTTAACACGGTTGTTTCCTTTCTTAAAATGTGTATACACTTTTTGGCACTCTCTGTCAATTTCAAGAATGAAATCTCTCCCCACCTGTCAACTTCCCCACTCACCTTTGCTCCTAACCCCATTCTCGCTCATCTCCTCCAGCACTTTTTCTATTTTCAGTTTCCTTCTGTGAACTTGCTCTTATGTGCCTTTTAGCGCCTCTTTTCTCAGCTTTTTTACAATAGTTGACTCATTCTCCTATCACATCCCATTTACTCTTCAGCTCTTTGCAGCTGACCCTGTCCTCACCTGGCTCCTGACGTTTCGCTTGCTGATCAGGGCAGAGCCTTGCAGACCCCTCTCCACCGCACTGTATCTGTATGCTTGGTGTCTTTGACTTTCTTTCTTGAGCCCTTTTCTGCTCCTTCTTCCATGGTGCTTGGGTCCTGTGCATCCATTCACTTCTTTTTTTTTTTTTTTT